AGTGTCTATGAATGAACTGACTATCAATGCTGTTAGTTTTGATTTATCTTTCCTTATAGTACAGACTAAAATTGCTACAGATAAGAAGTGGCGTGGTGATTAGCAAATTTCTTTTTGTTGAACCTGATACGCCTACGACAAAGTAAATGGCAAATAGCATCCCACATGCACTTCAGCAGAAATGCATTTTACTGAGAAGAGCATGTGAAAATGATCTACAGATGTACTGCTAATCAAAGCGTTCTGATTGAGCTTTAAAGACTTTGAAGATCATCAGCATTTGCCTTAGGCAGTTTAAAAATAAAATAGTGTGTCTATTTTCCCAGTGCTACAGATCGGCTGCTGTATCTTGCGTATTTTTAGAAACTCCTTATGCAATCCAGACACAGACAGAGCAACTCTTGGTCAGGGCGGGAGAGTCTGGGAAGCATGGAGGGCTTAACAACGAGAAAAGTAAGAGATAAAGAGATTAAGAGAGAGTAAAGACCTGTACGGAGTAAGCAGAAAGGGGAGGGTAGAGGAACAGCCATGAGTGACTAAAACAACCACTTCCCACAGTGTTTGGTTTCATAATCATCTAAACTGAATATCCACCTTATCAGCATTAATTCTCATATCAATCTCAATGAATATACAAATTAAGTCTTTAGTAGACGCACAAAAACCGACAGCTTGAGAACACAAAAGCTGAGGTGCTCCTTGATATGAGACAGAATAAGGTTACATTATCTTCCCCATTCACTGGTTTGCTAATCAAATTCAAGCATCGTGGTCCTTAGTGGTCAAGAGCTGCTGCTTTTCTGTTTAGTAGTCTGAGCTCAGTGAGGGCCTGCAGCTGCATGCATGATTCATTAGCAGTAAAACACCACAGAGAGCTGCACCAACTACTCTACCCTCAACTTTCTTGACCACATGCTCTCAGAGTTGCTTGTAGGGCTGGGCGATATAGCTAAAAAATGTATCAACGATATAATGTTTCATATCGTTCGGTATCGATAATTATTGACATTTTTTATAACCTTTTTTAAAACAAAGAGCAATAGAAAAAATTGTTTACATTTAACCCCTGTATTTTTAAATTAACTCAATTCATTGAGACAATCAACAAATATTTGTTTGTTTTAACAGTAAAACACAAAATACAAATTAACCAAATATCTAATTTCTAATGTTTTATATGCAGATTGAATAGATTAAACTTTTGGCTTGTTTCCCGAGGCCACGGGAGGGCGCAATGAGCAAAATAATGCAGCACATTAAATTGTCAAGGCAAGGAAATAACTGTCTATAAAAAATCATGCATTAGGTCTAAATTAACTCATATAAATAGGGCTGGGTATCCTTAAAAAATGTTCGATATCGATACCGATACCTTGACTTCGATACCACCGCATCTTGTGCTCCACTGATGACGCTCCCTGACGCACACCTAACATTTGATTGTACCATTTTTGCATTCAAATGCAAATGTTTATTTTAAATTCAACTAATATTAATTTTTTATTCACAATATCCTCATCACAGGCAGGCACAGCACTCATGTTCATGTTTGTGTGTGCTGTCTGTGTCACTCATAGCACGTGCCTATATCGTTCACTTTATCGAACATTTTTTATATCGTTATCGATGAAGGTGTACCGTCGATAAATATCGATACCGTTTTATCGCCCTGGCCTATTATCTAAAATATCCAACACTAAATATCCACTTGCAGTCTACAAAATGTAGTAGTGCTGCTTGGCTCCAGTCAGCAGCGGTCAATGTATTTAACTGATGGAGCTGTCACAGATAAGGAAGGATCTGTTCTCCGCTTCTCTCTTGTGATTTTTGGCCTCCCCCTCTCTCCAATTCCATTCCAGCCCTGCAAGACCAAGACCTGACCTCCGCTTTAACCCATGGCACAAAGCACCACAGCTCTCTGTTGATGTTTATAGCATGCAAGACAACCTAACAAATGGCTGTGATTTCATATTTTTACGTAAAACAACATTAAAGTCAGCATGAAATGAAAAAGTTATTTTCTAAATGCATCTTTTGAATGATTCGTCTATGCATGCGTTTAATTTCTTATTTAATTTTTTTTGAGTTTATCATTTTTAACTCTTCTGCTGTGCTAGAAATCCGTTACACTTTTTAAAAACTGCTAGTAAATCTCTCATTATGCTATATTATCAGCAAATCTTAAATTAGGCCTACATTTTTTCGTTAACTTGTTTTCTTTCCCACGGTTTTTGTATTTCTTTTTGGAACTGATTGGTTGTAAGCCTCACTGATTTGAGCTTAGGAGGGAAAGATTTGTGTGACCAGAAAAGTGACCAAAACAAAACATGAGGGTTTATTACAATGTAATAACTCAGTATTCAAGTGAAATATTCTGATCTGTCTCAATCAAATCAAAAACCAATGGATAGAACAAATTCCCCGTCTTACATTTTTTTAAATAATCAGTTTCACGCAAATGTATGTCACAAAACAGAAGAAAAGATCTGTTGCTACTTCTGCTACATTGTGACTTTAACAAGAAACAACATTATAATTCTGGCCATAACAAATATTAGTCAATAATTACTTAAAAATTATATCACACAATATTTTTTATTTAAAAGTACAATTAGTTAAATAATAATGATAACAATAATAATAATAAAAAATCCTTTAAAAACTCAAATTAATATTTTGTTGATGCAAGTAAAGGTTAGATGAGGGCAAAAGTAATAAAAAATATGGAAAAGGTATCCACAATTAAACATCCAATATTAAATGAATAAATAGAAATAATCACTAATATCAGTATTTATATTCATATGAACACATATGCTTATTTGCATTTTTTTTCATAAATGTTCAGTGTTTTTAAAATAATGATGAAATTATTTTTGACAAAGGACAATGAGGATGTGCTTTCACAAAAGGTCATGAGTACAATACAAATAGCTGCATTATTTTCATGCCTTTTCTACTGGAACATTTTCTTAAATGTCAACCATCCATGTAGGCTACATTTATCCACTGTAAATATACAAATAAATCAGAAAAATGACACTTAAGGATGGTATGTGTGACTGGAAAATAACAAAAATTTAATATGTCTCAGACAACTAAACACAGCTACCATTTGGAAAATGTCACCAGACAGTGTAGAAAAAAAGAAGAAACAGAAAACAAGCTGTAACTCATTAAAAGACGTTAAAAGAATGACATTTTAAGACATTTTCATGTAGAACACTAGAGGAATGTTGTATGTTTGGTCTGTGACAGTTCATTCATAAAGAAACATCTAACAAACAGCAGGAGTAGACTTGTGCTGGTATTCGGTAATGCCATATATCACGGTAATGAATATGCATGGTATTGTTATCGTGGGCACTTCTAAATACCGTGAATAATTATATATTACAAATTATTCAGAATTTTGAATGCATTTTAAGAATACTTTTCCCATAAACTGGTTAAAATGCACAACACCGCTGTATGCTGCGTGAAAGACGC